TAAGGTTGGGCCCATATTATTCCTTTGATCCAAAGTGCTCTACCCGATTTATCCTCTTGAATGGACCACATTCAATTTTGGGCCTTCTATGGTGATTTTCATGGCCTAATTCTTTTGGTTTCTATTTGTCTACTTATACCGTATCTTTAAGGCCAGAAAATTTTGTGAAATACTCCAAATGGTACGACTTTGAATTTTATATTACTTCAGGCATAGTCATTGCAAGTCTTTAAATATTCCAAGTTTTCAAATACAATATTTCTTCCAAGTGGGTGGCATCTAGAGAAAAATCGGGCCTTTATTGGTAATAAGAATTTCCAATTACCATAATCTGTTGGCTATGTATGCTTTCATTTTAAAGCCATTAAAATCCGATTATTTATTCACCAATGACCTGCAAGGTTATTTTAACACCAAGTAAACATTGGTTTCTCGGGACCTCAACATTGATGATAAATAATGGTAATGTTCGAGTAAGAGTGGCAAAATTCCTCTATTTGCTTGAAAGATTTACATCGATATACCGTCTGATTTGTGAAAGAGTCATGCAATTTCCATAGTGACAAATTGTGGAAATATGTGAAATGTGATGCTGTAATACTTGATGGTCTCGTGGATAGGCTACAAATCTTAGTAATGCTACAAGAATTATATTTGCAAGTGTACGCAAGGTGCTTTAGCAAATGCCTAATAGAAGCTGATTATTAGCTCATGATTTTCTTATTATTGAAGGCGAGCCTTAGCTCGTGGTTTTCTTATTACAACTGATTATTAGCTCGTGATTTTCTTATTATTGAAGGCAAGCCTCAGCTCGTGATTTTCTTATTCTCGCCTTAGCTCGTGGTTTTCTTATTACAGCTGATTATTAGCTCGTGATTTTCTTATTATTGAAGGCGAGCCTTAGCTTGTGGTTTTCTTATTACAGCTGATTATTAGCTCGTGATTTTCTTATTATTGAAGGTGAGCCTTAGCTCGTGCTTTTCTTATTATCGAAGGCGAGCCTTAGCTCGTGGTTTTCTTATTATCGAAGGCGAGACTTAGCTTGTGTCTTTCTCATTATTGAAGACGAGCCCTGCTCCGCGCAGGCACACAAAGCCCCGTCTTGCACAGGCACCACAAAGCCTTGCTCCGTGCAGGCACCTAAAGCCCTGTCCCCGGGCAGGCACACCAAAGCCCTGCTCCACGTAGGCACACCAAAGCCCTGCTCCATGCAGGCACATAAAGCTCTGCTCCGCACAGGCATCTAAAGCCCTGCCCCGAGCAGGCACACCAAAGCTCTGCTCCGTGCAGACACATAAAGCCCTGCTCCGTGCAGGCACATAAAGCCCTGCTCCGCACAGGCACACCAAACCCCTGTCAAGAGCAGGCACCAAAAGCCCTGTCGCGAGCAGGCACATAAAGCCCTGCTCCGCGCAGGCACACCGAAGCCCCGTCAAGAGCAGGCACCAAAAGCTCTGTCCTGCACAGGCACCAAAAGCCCTGTCACGAGCAGGCACCTCAAAGCCCTGTTCCGCACAGGCACCAAAAGCCCTGTCACAAGCAGGCACATCAAAGCCCTGCCCAGAGCAGGCACCTCAAAGCCCTGCCCCGAGCAGGCACCAAAGCCCTGTCATGAGCAGGCGCCAAAGCCCTGTCATGAGCAGGCACATCAAAAGCCTTGCCCTGCGCAAGCACCAAAGTCCTGTCCCGCACAGGCATCTAAGCCTTGTCCCTCGCAAGCACAAAAACCCTATCATGCGTAGACACCTAAGTCTTGTCCCACGCAAGCACCTTTAAGTCTGGCAATGCATCAAGTAAAAAACCCGACCATGGTCTATCCCGAGCTTGCCAGGCTCGACCTATTCTCAAATTCATCAGAGCAAAGATCGAAATATTATTTCACGTTCGGCTCGGGGGCCTATCCTCGACCTCAACGCATTGTCAAAAACCCAGCCACAAGAGCTAGGGATATTATTTCACATTGGACTCGGGCTATGTTCTGGAGCTCAAATTATTGTCAAACCCCAGCCAACAAACTTGAGATAAATATATTCAGAATAGGATTGAGCTTCCAATTAGCCTCCTATATGAAACTTTGTTTATTCGTCAAACTCATTACTTCCAAAACTTTTTAAAAAGCTCGAAGTCGAGCTCGTTCTTTTCAACTTCTAAACAAGGTAGAGGTCAAGCTCTTTCACTTCAAGTACTGATAAAGCTTGAGGTTGAGCTCATTCATGCCAAATTCTTTTACAAGGTCGAAGTCGAGCTCAGTTCTCTAAAAAATTTCAACATGGGCAGGATCAAGTCCTTTCTCCCAAAATTTCTAATAAGCCTTAAGATCGAGCTCATTCCTTTCAAATTTTAAATAGTCAATACTTGCTATCCTAGACCTATGTGCCCGGGGGCCTATCAACTCGACATGAGCATGCCTATTCTAGAACTTAATATACTTATGCATCTCGTGCCAGAAACTCTCACATTGCGCATGAGCTCCTGACACGGATGCACAGGGGCCTATGATGTGTACAAAAATTATAACCCGATCCTGAACTTTCAAGTATGACCTGAGGTCAATACCTCGACCACACTTGTCTTCAAATATCCTCTAAAAAGTGGTCGAGCCTCTTAGAAGTTGGGCCTAATAATCTGGCCCTGCTAAGGTCAGGCCCACATGCTAAAATATTGTCCTCATCTCGAGCCTTTTTACGTGTTTTAGTCCTCTTATAACTCAATTACTCTATTTGATGAGGATAAGGACTCTAAATTGTTGAATCCTTCTACAACTCAACCACCAATGTCTATAAATACAAGACCTAGCCCCATTATTTAGGTACGTTTTTGCAATACATACTTTTACATAATTTTCCCGTCTGACTTAAGCATCGGAGGGGCGACGAGGACACACCTCGTTGTCTTTGTTTCAGGTACTGGAAGGCTCCGTTCGTGCTCGATCCCAGTCCTCAATTCTCGAGAATGAAGTTAATTAGGCTAAAATTAATTTTTGGGTTGGGTTAAATTTTTATTCTTTTTTATTTCACCAAGAATTTGGAACCTTGCTTTTGATGATATGATACTGTATGAACACTAGATTAGTCACATTAGATGGTATATAATACATTGTATCTTGACATAATTATTTTGTTGATCATTTTTTATCATATTGGGTGGTATTTGTAATTTGTGAGGAATGGACTTGGGCCACATTTTTAAAATCTTTTCCTAAAAAATTACATGGGTCAGGGGCATTGCTGGGCTCACATTTTTTAAATCTTTTCCTAAAAAATTACATGGGCTGGGGGCATTGCTGGGCTATAGCCCAGCAAAGCCCCCACGGTCTCTGCCTCTATGAGGTTGTGTGTTAGGATTTAGTTGTAGCGGCATTCTTTAAACAAAATGACTAATATAAAAATTGTAAAAGTTCAAGAAGTCAATTGAAATGTTATATAGATGAACTAGGTAACTAGGGTTCGAGTGGAGTTTGGAACAAAGAAAGAGTCATCGGATTTACGCTAGCCTATCATCTATATGATGCTCAAGCGGGAAAAATAGAAACATTGTTGCCCGCCTATAGTCCAGCTCTTGCTCGAGCGACACACCGATCATATACTCCAGCTTAGCACTCGAGCGACGGTGTTACGCGTAAAACCCTGGTTCGCGTTCTTGTCCATACTACCCAAAACCTCCCTAACATAAATACACAAGCCCTACTTCGTGAATGGGGTGGTTGATCATTATTTTCTTCTTTCATAACATTCTTTGAAGATAAAAAAAACCTATCATACTATATCTTGAGATCAATCAACTACAATTTGGAAAAAACATCAAAATTAAATAATCCAAAACACCCACTCATATACACATACAAGAAAGTACTTTTTCAATGGCTTTCAAAGGTTGCTGGAAATTAAGGAAGGTTGGATCAGAAGCACAGGAAGAGTACAAGAACAAGGTGTTATTGGTGATTCACAGGAGATAAACAATGTCGAAAAATCGGGAATAGATGTAAATGAAGCACATTCCAAAGATCTTGAAGATTGCAAGAATTAGATTAGCAAGCTTAGTGAATTTTCTAAGTTAGATCATGCTGCAAGTTCTTGTTGTCCATAGTGGATGTTACTGACTTGATTTCGAAATTTCTAATTTTGCGAAGGATTTTCTCAATCAACAAATCCTATGTTATTTACTGCTTTATTAATTATTGTGGCAATTCAATGTAGGATAAATTTGATTTGATTGACTAAACATCCAAAACAATTAATAAGTGACTTGTTGCTGTTAACTAATAATCTTAATTCCGCTATTTTTACCCACTCACCCCCTCTAGGTGCTTTTAGGGTCGAACTAATAACTTTCAAGTGGTATCACAACTTTTCACCGTGCTAGCAGACTTTACAAGTAGCTGCTATGGGATTACAAAGTATATTGAGCAAGAAGCAAAAAATATTGTGGAAGAAGCAGTGACTTCAAACTCATGGTGATCGGGGAAAGGTGGGTTTCCACCTGCAATGGTGGCTGAGCTGGCCAATCACCACAATGCATACAATGAGTTGGGACCAATTGGAGGCTTGATAGCATCCTTGGGTAATGACAGTAAGAGTTTTGTGCTTGTAATCCAACATCATGATTCTACCCAAGAGGACGAGTTTAATTTGAAGATATTCAACAACAACGATGGTTCAGTGGATAATCATGTGCCGACTGTGTGATGCACGCTACAGCAGCATGTGAACCGAAATCAAATTATTGTATGGTGTTCTAATCATCGGAAATAGTAGCTTTTAGGCTAAGCCTCAGTCCCGGATGTCAAACAAATAATTTAAAATTTCAGTGGATCCCAGTATCAACACTGTGAATCCTAGATTTCAATCTCCCCCTTGCCTTGTACACGAACTCCATTAGGAATAATATTTAAAATTCACCAGAAAAAAATAAATAATAATAAAAAAAATAAAAAAACACCATTTTGGAAAAGAGTAAATGTTTCACAATAGCTGAGTTATTATGATTAAAGTAAAAGATGCTAAGACATTAAATGGCAAACAAATTCATTACAATTTTAAATGCAGTCTATTAAATATAAAACTCAAAAAATAAAGGTTCCATGCAACATAAAACAATCTTTTATATTCCTTGGGCATATTGCAATCCCACTATAGGAAATTTTACAGTTATGGACTATTTTCAGCATGCAAACATTTCAACTAGTTCTCTACAGAGTTCAATTGGGAGGAAATAAATTGTGAAGAAGAAAAATGGAAAAAATTGGAATGGGACTTGCTAACCTCAATGAAAACCACCCTCAGTCCACTTGTTTTCTGATTTGCTGTTATAACCTGCAGCCTTGTGATCAGATGCATTTTGATGGAAATTATCGTACCCATCATCTTTAGCATCATCCCAGCCTGCCCAGCTATCCCCATTCTGGGATGTCAGCCCCTTTGACGAATCTTCTTTCCTACTATCTTTGCTATCCCAATCATCCCAGGAACCAGAACTGACAGAGTTAGATTGTCGAGCAGACAATTTCTGTGCTCCAGCTGAAGTATTCAAACCTTTAGACTCCTGTCCAAACTCCTGATAGTAACCAGTTCTCTCATTTTCATTTTGTTGCCAGCCATCATTCTTCCAGTCAGAGCCTTCTTTAGTGTACTCCTCAACCTTCTGTGAAGCCAAAGCCATTACTCCTTTCATGAGTCCCCATGTCTTCTGACCAATCTCTGAAGTTTTTGCAGTCACAACATTGACAGTTTCATTCACCTTGTAATCATGGCCGTCCTCCTTTACCTGCAAAATGAAGATCAACTTGCATGTTGATTAACTCCATACTGTATATACTCAAAATGTTTGGAGAAAGAAATAAAAGGGAATTAAATTTAGAATGAATTATGCCTTAATCACCCATGTAAGCCAGCCATCTAAATTTCAACTTCAGAAAAAAATTGTACAGTAGGAATAAACTAAACAGAAAAGATAAAAGCAAAGACTAAAACTATCAGCATTTTCAAAGGAAAAACCAAATATTAACTTTTTAGAAGATCAGAAACTCATCTCAACTATTGCTGTAGTTATACCGTGCAAATTTTTTCGAAATTACATAAAATTCTGATATAACTTGCATTACCCACATACTGAGGGCTCGTTACTATTTTTGTATGCGACTCAGAAATATGTTGAGACCTTATCAATATTGCACCAAATGGGAGCACCAAAATAAGAACCGCTCTGTATAGGCTGTCCTAGATTCTCCACAATTAACCCAAAAAAAAAAAAAAAAATTCACCAAAGCCTCAATGTCTTAACTGCTAGGCAACAAAAAATGCCGCATCTACCCAGTTCACAATAAGTTAACCACGTCAAGTTCTCTCCATCAACCTTTGTTTCCCTACATTTGAGCTTCTCAGACAGCGAATCAGGGAAGAAATAAGGAATTTCAAGCCAACAATCTGAATGTGATTGATGCATGTGATGTGAATCTATGCCAAATGGGCAGATTCCGTGGATCATCCAAAAACTAATTTCCAGAAAAGTACCAAACCGTCTGAGATAAACCTATCGACCACAATCCTTTCTGAGGGGGATACTTTATAGTATAGAAACTGAAAATATCTACAAGCAACACAGAAGTCCTGCACAAGAACAGAAAAGCCAAAAAAAGATATATCCCAAAAGCTATTATATCGGAGAAAAGGATCTCCACGTGTCATCTCTACTAAAATAGTTTGGAGAGCAGCCAAGAAAGTTGTGAAAGTTTGAGATGCTAACAGATCAAGTAAACCACAATTGATGAAGGGTGCTTTAGCAGTACAATTATTCAGTTTACCACTCCGATGGCATTCATGAAGACAAATGCAGAATTGCATAGTCCAAAATCATGGTGGCAATCAGTCTTGAATATTGGCAATGTGTTTAGAAAGATATTCAGGAAACAACAGAGAAATTGTTCAGAACAGAATCAAACCTAGAGAGAGTCACGGATGTACTTTTGAGATCAAGGTGAAAGAAATACTTTTGAAAGATGGATTGCATAAATTTCAAGAAGGGGAACTGCATAAACATTGGTTGAAACTTCCTCACCCAAATTCCAGATAGCAAACATCAACAAGAAAGCAAAAGCCAAAAGTGTAACCTACTTAGAGTAAAATATTTCAAATATTAAAACTGTACACCGTATTTGAGATAAGGATTAGTTTCTTGGTTTAACATTAAACCACTCAAACCTCTAACTATTACCCTTTGAAATTAATGTTCCGCATAGTAGGTGAAGCATTAAATAAGTGCATTACCAAGTAAAACAAGCAACAAAAGCAATGCAGTGGCAAAAAACTAAACTACCATAGAAGTGAACTCCTTAGTCCCTGCTTGAACAACATTTGCAGCTGACTGAGCAGCTGAGGCAGCAACCACTGATAACCTACCAAATCCCTATGCACAGACAACACAGCATTAGCAACAAGGAACACATAAATACCGATGAATTAGAAACATCTAAATTATTAATATTTGCCCAGATGGACCTGAGTAAGAGTGGAAAGAACATCCGGCTCAGAAATGTTCCTCGGCATGGATGGACTCGATCCAAATCCAACATACTTCCCACCCTGGGAGGGAGGGAGGCCCTCGGGCCGGGACTCATTCTCTGCAATTTTCCTTGCAAAGAAGCCCTCCTTATTGGCAGCTGAAGCCTCCAATTGAGCTTGAGAATAAATGTTATTAGTGGACTTCGACTTTGCTGGGGCGCCGCCCACATTTCCACCTTCCCTAAAGTCCCCTACAGTATTGTTCCTCCTAATATTGTTAGAATTACTATTAGTAGTCCCTCCGTTATCACATGTATCCCAATTATCCCCTCCTCCATTATTCCCAAAACTATCATTCCTACCACCATTAACACCTCCACTCAATGGCGGTTTATTGTTGTATCTAGCATTGCTAATAGTATTGGATTTCAAAGTTTCCTTAACAACAGGGGGGTCACGCCAGGGTTTGCCCTCAGCAAGGGCCTGGATGCGATCACGATAAACAGAGGCTGCATTGGTATTGTATTTCGTTACAATTTCAGTTTCCTTGGGGATTCCGTACTGGACCATAAATTGATTTAATTTATCATTTCCCCCGAGTTCCATTTTCTTTAGCTGGATCTCCGACCACGAATCCATAGTGACTGATCGTACGAAGGAGATATGAACACCGAGGCCACGGTGTTTGCCGGAGCACTCGAGGCACATAAAGACACCGTAGGATACGGAGGCCCATTGGGGATTCTTCTGTGAGCAGTCCACACAGATCTTGTTGCCCAGTTGCGACTGTAGTTCCCGGAGCCGACGCGAAGCTGCCATTCGTGATGGATCTAGTAATTGGTCGGCTCCGGTTTCAATTTGGTGGGTTTGTTGTCTATGATCCGGGTGGGATTATTGGATCGGATATGAAAGACGGAAATTAGGCCATGATCGTCAATCTGTATATATGTGGGACTGATTTGTACGGGCACATTGATACAGGGGAACGATGAAATTTGAGAGAGATGTGTATATAGTGGTGCTAGTCATACATGTACATAAGTGTGTGCACCTCTCTTATATGAGATGTGGGATTCACGTTCCATGTGGGGATGTACATTCTTAGGTACACTCTATTACGTACTACAAAATTAATTCATATATTATTACATATTGTAATTATTTATTACTAAGAGGAAACCGGAGAGAGGGTTGGGATTGCCGACATCCACATCCGTAAAAAATGGTTTTACATTAATAACTTTCTATTTTATAGTTCATTTTCGTGACATTCATTTTTATTAAGAGATCAAAAATTAAGCATCGTTTGAGCTCTATTCTTTTAAAAATTCATTTTTTTTCAAAATTTATTTTTACATATTCTTCAATAAAATAATTTAATATGTAAATCGAAAACTTTTTTCTTACGTTTTAACTATGCATTCTCTAAAAAATCACTATTCAAAAATACATTTTTCCTCAAAATGATGCTCAAACAAGGGCTTAAAATATAAAATTAGATTGTCATTTAAGCATCGAATTTTCAATCTAATTGCATAACTCAATCATGGGTTGAGAGCCTCGAAGATCTTGGTGTTGAGGTGGAAAAAAGAGGTGGCGGATCGTCACCGTCAGTGCAAATGAGGTGCATAGGAAAAGACAACAATTTGGTAAAAATGACAAACTTCGTATCATGAGAAGAATGATCGGAGCTCAAGAGAAATTAAGAGATAAAATGGAAGGAAAAAAATGTATAAATAAAAATTTAAGGTGGATCATCTAGCACCACTTGACCTATGTAAATCCTTCCTGCATATCCAATCTATTCCCATAATCTACATGATGATTCCGACTTCTTCTTCACTTTCAAGCTCCTTCCCAAAGTTGAGTCCATCCCTTAAGAACTCCACACACTAAACAAAGACAAAACCCTTCACTTCAAAGCAAAATAACTCATGTTCAAATAGTAGTCCATAGTCATAAGACAAACACGAATTGAAATACTTGGTTGTCTTGCATTTTATCCAAATTATCCTTCTTTCACTTTGTTTCACATAGTTCCATAATCCATATCAAGCAATTTCAAAATTTTCTAAATAACTCCTTCACTTGTTATAGGTGACTTTCGTTGTCGACGTGCCATGACAGGCCATGCTTGATTTGGCATGTGACAATAATCAACAGTGAAAAAATCAATCTAAAATTCTTTTATTGGCTTCAACATGGTCAATTCAAAAGTATCATATTAGCAAATTATTCATTTAATCAAATCAGTATATAGATGTCATACACTTAGTATTATTACTTAGCCTTTATTTGGCTCATATTTTTCAAAAATTCATTTTTTTAAACTCATTTTCAATCACATCCACATTTCATAAGTTTCATAACTTTTATCAATTTTTCAATCACACGTTTCATCAAATTTTTATCAAAATCTACAAAAAAATTAATTTTTATTCAAACCAAATAGGAGATTAATTTTGGGGGTGACTTCCGTATTGAAGGCACACTAGAGCCGGCACGAGATAGTGATACTCCTCAAATTAGAGAAAATTCAGATAATGATATTAAAATTCTTTCTCCATCCTACGGTTTTTTTTCTTTTTTTCTTTTTTTTCCTCATGTTTTCTTTTCTCATTTTCCCTTGAATAAAGGTCCTCTAATCCAATCAGGTCTCTGAAGACATTCCTCTAGGAGCGTGCAGCTCGACTATGCTTTGAGTGAACATTTAAAATGGCATACCATTTGAGCTTAAGCGAATCGATAAATGTGATATTTCAAATAGATAGACATTATTGAACTAATTTTTTTTTAAAATTAAGTTTTGAATATAAAATTGATTTACTAAAAGCTGGTTATGTTGTCCATGTGAAATAGTAAATGAAGATAATAAATTTTAAAGTATTTATTTATTGTAAATCAAGTAAAAATGTATTTAGATTCTTCTTTCTTCTTTTATACTTTCTTATTAGTATCTTATTATTAATCAATTTTTTTCAATTTTTTTGTCAAATATCATGAGATTTCACTCTTGTGATGTTAGACTTCGACGCTAAAAGATACAGTAGGATTTTTGGAATTAAGAAAATTTATTAATTTAAACAAAGTATTCATTTATCGATAGAAGTATATTTCAAATTATCTATATTAGTTATATAGATAAGTCGACTTACTTGGAATGGTACATTGTCTTAATTTATATTGTTTCCAACCATTAAAATATGAGTTGTGTTTAGTGTACATAATTTGGATAGATAGGAGTGTTCACATCACTCACATCGGGGCGGGAGCCGCGCAAGGTGGAACCCACCCCAAATAAAGGGTATGGATACCCCTATGTATATAAATTATGTATACCAAGAATTTTCCTTAAAATATACCACGTGCCAAACTTAAAATTGTACTTCATTAGTCCCTAAACTTTAAATCGTGAATTTTTATTGTCCTAAAAAGAGATTTTGTCTAAAATTACTAATAGACACCAAAAGATTGATGATTTAACATTTAATCTGACACTGCTTTGACACCTAATACACTAATAAGCTAAAATTGCACCATTTTCTTGAAGAAAAGATACACTTTATTTCGCTTTTAAGTTGGAAAGAACTTAAAAAATGCTGCAATTTTATCCTTTTGGCTTATTTGATGTTAAGGTTACATCGGAAAGTTAAGGGACTAATGGAGTTCGATTTAAAGTTTAGGAGCTTTTTTCCACACCGTGTAAAGTTTGGGGTCTATTCAATTTTTTCACCCTAAAATCAACTAAATTACAATATTTATATAACTAGCTCGTATACTTTCCTTGTGACTCTTATATCTATTCTATCTCCTATTCATAAAAGTCTTGAAGTGAAAAACAATTTTCAATCATGCTACAGTCCTAGATTCTTCAACATAAAATTTGACATAATGTTATGTGGTATTATATTATTGGATTGTTTTAAACACTGTCAATTTTTCTATCAAATCATCTTCTGTCACTTCAAATTATGTCAAAGCATTTGCTAAAATTTTCTAGCTAAGTGGCGAAACCCAACATTTTTAGACAACGATGCCTTTAAAAAGTTTATATAGTTACTGATTTTTCCTTAATTAACATTACTCTCAAACGTCCAAAAATAATATTGTCTTTCGGTTGAGTAATATTACTCTTCTCCACACTATGTGACAGCGAGGTTGTTGACCTCAAAAAGTATACCTCCAGGTGGGCAACAGATCCCGAGACCTTTCACGTCCGAGCAAGCCGTTTTCCTGCACTCTAGGACAAACTGTTAGACACACGTGGTCTTCTCCGATGGGGTGGAGCCGACCGCACGTACTCCAACGGTCAAGTCAGTTGGGAAAGATATATGTGAGTGTGGGAGAGCTTTTAACGTGAGCCTCCAATATAAATTAAAGGGGGTCAGAGTTGAGAGTAAAAAATATAGAGAGCAAAATTATAGTATCAAAGTCTAAACTTGCATTACTTCTCAATGACACTAAGTGTGAGCTTTTATAGTGTGGGATAGTAAGTGAGGATTGTCAAATGAGAAGACGCATGGCCTCATTCATGTGGGCACAACCTCTCATCATGGGAATCAAACAATCATAAGACTTGAATGGTAATATCAACTTGCCTTTCAGAATTCATAACTTGCGTCCATAAATTCATGTTGGCGGTGGCGACGATGTCAGGGACTAGTCAAATCAGTCATGTCACTAGAGTTGATTTAGGAGATCTTCTGTCAATCAACCTCTTTACTAATCTCGTTTATTTCGCCTGGTCCCTGTGGGATGGTTCACCTCCACAGGTTCGGGTGGGTTGGTTCAAATAGGGATGGGTTCGATTAAGGAGTTCATCCATTCGGTTCGTTATCCCATGGGTTCAACCATTAAAGGGTGCAGAGTGCCTATGGTTTCGCCTACCACGTAGCCTGTTTTGGGCCCCTATTGGGAACGGGGTATAACAATAGTCCCTGAAGTCTATGTATGGGTATTTATATAATGCATGCACTTAAAAGGTTGGGGAAAAGGAAAAAATGAACGCGATATAATAATAGTCCCCGAAGTCCATGTATGGGTATTTATATAACGCGTGGACTTGAAAGGTTGAGGGAAGGAAAAAAACGAACGTGGCCCTTGGTAGGGTCGAGCATTGAAAGAAGCGGTCCTTCAAAATTAAATATAGGAAGAGCCAATATCGAGATGAAGTGGTGTTTCTGGTAGATTGAATGTCATGGGTATTAATTGTTGTTGACTGTTATGTTGTCTCTTAGTTTTCCCAAGGTGGGGTATATCGTTTCCAACGTAAGCTGTTGGACATGTGTTTTGATCCTGATAGTAGGAAATGAAGCATCAAGTATATTCGACGGTTCCAATGTCACCTCCATATGAATGGCCAAGATCTTTGCAATTGGATGACTGAGAATGGTCACCATTGCCTTTAAAAAGGGGCTTTCGCTTTGCATGTTCATTGTCCGGCATGACTTGCGTGATTTTGTGTATATGTTGCATTTAGTTAAAACACTTGTCACTGGTTGATCATGATTGGGTTTGGTTTAATAGATTGCTTGGTTTTGGTAGATGTTATGGAGTGTATAAGCGACAGGATTTGCGTGCATATTATGTGGTTTTCTTAGATCTATGGGAATCGAAATGTAGGTTTACTACAATCTTCTTTAAAGGCGCTAAGGGCAACATAATGCCTTGGGCTCTCTGGTGGATCGTCAAACTATGTTCCAATAATGTGCGATGACATCCGAGAAGCCCTTAGTGGCACTATGTGGACCCACAGGGTGAGCTTTCCCTGAGCAGCTACGCTGTTATTTTGTTAGACATTAACAAGGCAGAGTGTATTGTAGCTGCAATTTTGAGTTTCAACAGTCCTGAGGGTGCACATAGTACCAAGGGTCGATATACGGACTATGCAGCTGGAAAGAGAGAGGTCCAGCGGTTCGCTTGCTACGTAGTTGTATCCTGTAGTGTCTTTGTATTGTACTTGTAAATGTCCTTTGTAATCAAAACAATGTATTGTTCTCAATTGTTAATATACAA